CCGCGTGAGTTGACTATTATTACGTATATAAGTAGTCAAACCTTTAAACAATGGGTTATTGCGTGGCACCAAATTATAAAAGTAAATCTACAGACGTTCGATTGTCTAGATTTCCCGCAAATAAGCGGAGGAAAGCAAAATGTAGCGTAGACATCGACGGATGGTTGACGTACATTTTTCTGGTAGGGATTTAAAGCGTAACGATTTAATATTTTTCTCACATTTAAATATATCAAATATAATGCAAAAGACTTAATATTTTTACAGTAGTTTGTAGCAGTAAACTTTAAATTTTATTATTAAATTAAAATTAATTAATGCGGAACACGTAAACAAAAAAAGTATGCACAAAGAACGTTAAATTGATATTTTTTGTTTTATTTAAAGTAAAATTGACTATTTAATTGTAAAAAAGAAAATTTCAGCAATATTTTGCTATGGCAACAAATATTCACATTTTGATCTCTTATCCACACTCAGATTCTTTAACAATATACAGTCAACACACCTTAATACTGAGAACACATATTTATTCAGCTAAACAAACGTTTTCAACCCATTTCATGGGCCATCATCAGGTTAAAGACGTTCGAATCAATCTCACTTTCGAACACGTTCAAATTTAAATTACATTAGAACAAACGTTGAAATTAAATTACGTAAACAAGCATAACGAAATTAATACAATAAATAAGGAAAAACAAAATAATATAAAAAGGAATACAAAATACGCTAATTTCCCACAATACAATATGTAAACATTTTTTATATAGCAACTCAGGTTTTTATTGAGCCTGGTGGATGTATCATCTTACGAGTTCTTTCTGATTATGTATTTCCATGCCGACGGTAAAATGGTTGCATCCTTATAGTTTAAACATTTATCTGTTAAGCTAGATCTGTAGATCTCACACTTCTCTGTTGTGGATGCAAGTGTTGGCGAGTGTACAGTACCTTTGTAATGATTCTGGCCTCTTCCCATTTAACTATGGATCCATCTGTTTGCGCTATTTTTGATAACGCTGTTGTACATCGGCTCTTTGCTACGTCATACTTATGCTCTTTCATCCTCACGTTAAGGGTTCTATTGGTGACTTCTATATATTCTTTATCTATTCCTAATTGGTCGTTCTTGTACGGTATTGCATACACTCCTGGTTGTTCTTTTTCATTAATTTTTTCTTTGTCATTTCTGAGCAACGTATATAATGTGGGAGCTCTTTTGTATACAATATTGATGTTTTTGTAGTTGGCGATTTCTTTCATAACCGGGAATAGATGTTTATTATACAGTCGACCCCCCTATAATTACGGTCCCTATAATTACGATTCCTATAAAACTACGAAAAAATATACGTATTTTGGAAATGTTGAGTCGGATTAGTGTAGAATCGATTAATTTTATGGAAGAAAACCTTTCAATCAGCTGTAGCCCGTAAACTTCATACGTGTCGGGCTGTGATTGGAACGACTTGTAAGAAATCGAATTCCTAATAAATTGGAACGTATCTATATCTTATAGGGGGGTCGACTGTATGTGAATTTTGTGATGTTGCTACGTTCATCCGATTTTTTCTTTTTGCCATTTCTAGGATCGTTGTATGCGGTAATTAGACGTTCTACAGATCTTGTTCCAAATTCCAACCCTTTCGCCTCTTCTTTAATTCTATTCAGCTCCTCTATTGTGTCTATCATGTTAGAGCAATATAAAAACGCTCTTCTGATTAGAGCCCTAAAGGCAGAGAGCATATATGAAGTTGGATCATTAGATGTCCATGGTATATATATCGGATCATGTGTAGGTTTGATATACACCTTTGTGTACAGTGATCCGTTCCTAAATTCAATGTTAACGTCGAAGAAATGCAGTTCTTTGCTACTAATCTGTTCCAGGTTCAGTTTTAAACCATGCTGGTTAGAATTCATTTGGCTCAAGAATTATTGTATCTTTGCGTCGTTCTTCCATATAATAAGCACATCATCAACGTATCTTTTGTATAGGATTATGTCTTCATTATAGTTGATAAGTGTAGAGCGCTCCATTTTTCTCACAACTAACTCACAGAGCAGGCCAGACATTGGGCTGTCCATTGAGACTCCCCTTAACTGTTTAAAAACTATTTACCGTACAAAAACGACCAATTAGGAATAGATAAAGAATATATAGAAGTCACCAATAGAACCCTTAACGTGAGGATGAAAGAGCATAAGTATGACGTAGCAAAGAGCCGATGTACAACAGCGTTATCAAAAATAGCGCAAACAGATGGATCCATAGTTAAATGGGAAGAGGCCAGAATCATTACAAAGGTACTGTACACTCGCCAACACTTGCATCCACAACAGAGAAGTGTGAGATCTACAGATCTAGCTTAACAGATAAATGTTTAAACTATAAGGATGCAACCATTTTACCGTCGGCATGGAAATACATAATCAGAAAGAACTCGTAAGATGATACATCCACCAGGCTCAATAAAAACCTGAGTTGCTATATAAAAAATGTTTACATATTGTATTGTGGGAAATTAGCGTATTTTGTATTCCTTTTTATATTATTTTGTTTTTCCTTATTTATTGTATTAATTTCGTTATGCTTGTTTACGTAATTTAATTTCAACGTTTGTTCTAATGTAATTTAAATTTGAACGTGTTCGAAAGTGAGATTGATTCGAACGTCTTTAACCTGATGATGGCCCATGAAATGGGTTGAAAACGTTTGTTTAGCTGAATAAATATGTGTTCTCAGTATTAAGGTGTGTTGACTGTATATTCATATTTTGTTCGAATACGCTGTGTTCTATTCGAATATAATTTGTCAGTTTATTGTCAAATAATTTAATTTATAATTTTATTTTTGAAATTTTTTGAAAGCTATTTATAAATTAAAAATGTATCTACACATCTATTAGTTATTATAAAATGAACATTACATTGACAACATTTATTAATAATACTAGCTGCAAGGACCCGCCTCGCTGGGCTTTTATTTGTGGGCAAAAAGTAAAGATAGTGAAGATTAAGATAATTACATTATAGCCAACCTTACCCGTTTTCAGAGAATGCAAGAATTAGGTCCCCCGTTTCCAGACTATTTAGAACGTCTCCTAAACAGGAGACGTTCACGTCCAGTCAAACGAACTATTTTCAACGTTTCTGGAACGTTTACAATCGTTCTATAATTGAACCAATTCGAATTTAAAACGGTTCGAACATTTTTAAAATCGAAATAGAAAACCACTTTCAGCCCCATATCTCCCGCACCCTTATAGCTATCGAGACGCAACCACCTTAGTGCACGAATGGAGACTTGGGGGGCTACTACCACATACAAACACCATTCATGTGTGATGTGTAGTTTTGGCTGAAAAGTGAAATATAGGGACACACACGTCCATTTATATATATATATATATATATATAGATATAGATATATATAGATATATATATAGACTATCGAATTTCGTCTTAATTTTATAACCAATCGTGCTTTAAAAAAATAATTATAAATTTATTATATTATAATACACTCTGTCACAAAAAAATGTATGCACCCAGAAGAAATCGAGCCACAATCACGAAAGTCTGTAAGAATGTAGACTAATAAGAGATATGCAAATGATAAAAATTTTAACGCCAATGAGACAAGGCTAACGGCAGTACGAGCATATGAGATGCGCAGCTGGGAGAGTTTAAAAGCACAAGTGCTCGTGCCGTATGGCTATTTAAGCGAATCTGTCAACTTGGATGGATGGTATTGTGAATAGAAATGCCTCTGAGACGTAACAGGCAGCAATACGAGCAGTTGACGGAGTTTGAAAGGGGCCATATAGTAGGCCTCAGAGAAGCCGGTTGGTCAAACAGGTGTATCGGCCGCCACCTCTGTCGGAGCAATATGGTAGTTGCTCGGTGTTGGCAACAGTGGCTGACGGAAGGGAGAGTCTACCGTTGCAGAGGGTCAGGACATCCCAGAAACACAAATGAGCGCGAGGATCGTGAAATCAGAAGAGTGGCAACGTCCGCACCAACAACATCGCTATCATCAATTCGACGCCATTTACCACCGTCCGGGCATCCGGTGGCATCAAGGGAAACCATTAGGAGACGACTGGCCGACACTGGTATAAGGAGCCGACGTCCATTAAGACGCTTACCACTGACCCCACATCATAGGCAGTGTTGATTGGATTTTTGCCGACCTCGGGCAAGTTGGAGTGTGACCGACTGGAAGCGTGTGGTCTTCAGCAATGATTCCTGATTCAGTCTCAGTGCTGATGACCACCAAACACGTGTGTGGAGGCGGCCCGGCCAGCAGTCTGATCCGGCATTTGTTGTCGAGCGGCATACAGTGATTACACAAGGTGTGACAGTGTGGGGAGCGATTTGTTATGACACACGATCACCTCCAGTCGTCCTTCAAGGCAACATGATGGCTTGCAGTTACGTGGACAGCATTTTAATGCCGGTTGTACTGCCTATTCTATCAAGTCGCCCAGGTGCCATTTATCAGCAGGACAACGCTCGTCCACATACTGCAAGACTCTCCCAACAATGTCTTCAAGGATATGATGTACTTCCATGGCCTGCAAGGTCACCAGACCTCTCGCCAATAGAGCATGTCTGGGACGTGTTGGGAAGGCAAATGCAGCCGTCTTGTGATACAAGTGAATTAACTGCCTAGTTGCAAAGATTATGGCATGATCTTCCACAAGGGGTCATAGGTGACCTAATTGATTTGATGCCATGTCATGTTTTGGCTTGTATAGCTGCCAGAGGTGGCTTTATTACTTACTGATTTGTAACGTTTTTCATTCCATAACTTCTTAATAAAATGATCTTTTGTTCTGAATTTTTAATCATTTGCATATGTCTTACTAGTCTACATTCTTACCGACTTTCATGATTGTGGCTCGATTTCTTCTGGGTGCATACATTTTTTTGTGACAGAGTGTATTATATTCTTTATTATACTTAAAATTTTCTTGATGTTATTGCATCACTTTACGAAGTGTCTATATATGTAATTGCGTCAGTTTTAGCACCTATTTCATTAATTTCAATCAGACAGTGAATGATAGGGATGATTGTTTATTATAAACTATTTGATGAAAACGTTACATAAAATTGGGGTTCCGTAATCGTCCGAAATTATTATATTTTTGACTGGAAATATTAGTACCATTTTAGTACCACGTCCGTCTCATTCATCATTCAATTATTTTAAGTTTAACTTGTAAATTTACGATACGAAAAAAACAGAAATATGACATCATAATTTTCTATACATCGTGTTTATTATGTTCAGTATCACTAACAACAATGACAATGTAGCGAAAAATCGCAGACAAATCACGAAACAAGAAACAACTTGGCTTCATTCTTTTAACAGTAGCCAGCCAATTGCTTTTATCAACTATTGTTTGCGAAGAATATATTTCAACTTTTCCCAGAACCATTTCTCTCCCCACTTCAAGTAAGTTCTCGTCGAAAGCAAACGACGAAGATCGTCCTCCAGCTCCTTCCAATTCTCCAAATCTTCCACCAAAACCAAAACCAAACGATAAGCTTGGTCTTCCATCATCCTGTTGTAAGCCACACGAAACTCCACACTGAACCACATGCTGTCCAGAAACTGTCGAGACAACAATATCACCGTCCTTCTACTGTTAAGCACAGAATGCACGATGTTCTCGCTAATAGGGCTACCCGCCAACCAATCACGTTCGTGAATACAAAGGCGATAAGTGGGTTCCAGTCGATCCACCATCTCCATGGTTAAGTTAGAATCGGAACTATTATAACACACAAAAGCGTCGTACTTGTTTTCCTCTTCGTCGAGGACCCTGTAGCAACAGGGCAAGTACACGTCTCGACTGTACAGAAAGGCCAATATAGCGAGTCTGTAATGATAACAGGCAACTACGAGAACTGATGACATCAATAACAATACTACCGAAACTGTAAGAACGATTATTTGCCATAAAGGCCACACGGGTTCCTTTAGACAGAACACATCCAGCGGTATACTTGCAATTAGCTCGTGTGTCACGGAATTATTAACTCTATTGACTCTCTGGCAGGTTACGTTCTCGGAATCACGGATCTTAAGCAAATTCCGCGTGAACCACTTCTTAAAATGAACAGAGTGACAATCGCATTTCCACTCGTTTCTGGAAAGAAAGATGCTGAAGTTTGACGAATCTTCCACGCGCTTCATCACAGAAGGGGGCAAATCCGACAGCTTGTTTCCATCCAGAGCCAAATAGAGGAGATTATCCGGAACGACCCAATCGTTTAGTGACGTCAGAGAATTGTTACTAAGATAGAGATGGGTGACGTTTTTCCACGTAGTCCCGTCCACTTCGGACAGATTGGCAATGTGATTGTCGTTCAAAAAGACGAATGTTGCATTTGTAGGAAGATTCGCGGGCGAATTAGATAAATTTCTACGAGAACAATCGATTGTACTTTGTCCTTCTAGTGTCAAGTAGCACTCGCAAAACAAAGGACACTCCTCTTTCCGCGGACAGACACTGTAAATTGGCCAAATTTCTGTTAGTTTCTTTTCGGAATCTCCATTGCATCTCAGGATATTGGAATTTGGAAAAATGCGGACGGCGTTTTTGTCAAAATGAAGAAATCGCAAGAACTGTCTGATTCGACAGTCGCACTCGATGACATTTCCTGTGACGTTATACACTGGATAACTGTTAGAATGTCGTCGATAGTCAATGTAGATGGTGGATATGTTGTTGTGGTTGAGCAATATCTTGGTGCGCTTCTTGGTAAACACGGGTAGAGTGACTTGCCGAAATTGGTTGTGGGATAGATCGACTTCAGTCAGGTTGTTATTCGACCAATCAATATTAGGAAAAGTCTTCAGATTCGAGTTGCTCATCTTCACATTTTGCAAATAATTGCTGGAACCAAAAGGATATTTTGCGGGTAAACGTTCGAAGTTGTTATTCGATAGATCGATGATCCTCAAATTCAAAAGAGGTAGAAGTGTATCTTCGTGCAAGGAGGACAAATCGTTATCGGATAACCGCAACACTGCCAGTGTTGATAAGCGCTTGAAGATATCTTTATGTAAACTGTTCAGTCTGTTGTACGATAAGTCTAATGATCCGATTCTCTTTAAGTTAGAAAATACACGCGGTGGCAAAGTCGATAATTTATTTCCAGTCATAAACAAACGACTCAGATGTTCCGTGTTATTAAACAGTGCTTCCGGTAGACGTGTAATGTTATTAAAATCTACGAAGAAGTCTATCAAGGAGGTGGTGTCTGAAAATAAAGATTCCTCCAGACGTACCAAAGAGCATCCGGATGCCCAAAATAGTTCTAAGTGTGTCAAGCCTCTTAAGAATCCTTTGGGTAAGTTTTTTATTCCTGTATTTCCACTTATTTCGAGACCGATTAACTGAGCGAGGGAGGAAAGCAAATTTTCCGGAAGAACCGTCAGTTTATTGTTTTTGATCCGAAGTATTTCTAGGCTGAAGAGATCGGAAAAGATATCTTCCGAGAAGTTCTCGATTTGATTATCGGATAAATCTAAATATGTTAACAATGTGAGATTTTTAAAGAATCCACGTGGAATGTCTCTTAATCTGTTATTGTACAAGGTTAGTATTCTGAGATTTCTCAACTCTTGGAGTAGCTCCGTCTGAACACGCTGTAGATTTCCATACACTATTTTCAGAATTGGAAGATTTGTCAGATTTTTAAATGGTGGCTGGTGAAAGGAGGTGAAATTATATTCGAAAATTTGTAGCGAGTAGATGACGGGTTGGAAATCGAACGTCAGGTCGAATGTTCCTGCGGTTCTTATTCCGGACAGGGATACGTTTCTGACAAATGGCAGCTTTTCAATGTGCAAAGTTTGATAATTCGGTTCGATTTTGGTAAATGCAATTTGCAAATTGCGTATGACGAGTCCAGATAAAAATTCACTCAAACTAAAATTTCGGGAATAACAATTGCGCATTACTAAATTAAGGTCTTCTGTTTGTTGCAAACACCGGAAGATCCGACGATCCGGATCCGCTCCGTAGCAATCGATGAAAAGATAATCGACGCTAACAGCGACAAAAACGTTTTCGCTTAGAAGACAATCGGTTCTGGTGACCCGTAGAAAAAACCTGGGACACGGGACATTCTTCCATCTGCTCAAGAACTCGGTGCAACACTGAGCCAAAACGATACACGAGAGCAGGTTTAACAGATTTTTCACTTTTATTTCCGTGGCATTCTGCAAAGAAAACTTCCGTTTAATTCGTTATAAAGGGGTGAAATGCCGAAGAGAACGATTCTGAACGGGAATTATTTTGTATTTTTACCGTAATTTTAACGAGATGGCTACCGACTTAAATTATATAACAACGTAATTCAATATGTAAATTAACTGTTAATTAATTTTGTTATTTAAAGTTTGAGGGACCCCGCAAAAGAAAAAAAAATTCAATCGGGGCTCGCACCTATTGGATCCAGCGCTGCATTAGGTCTATCGTTAAATGCTAAGGCTTCTTCTTCTTCTTCTTCATTACTCTTTAATTACATAACATGAGTTATATCCCCTGATATCGCAGTGCATAATCAGGGATTGTTTACAATATAATCAAATTCATTAAGTACATACAATATGTGAGAGAGAATAAAAACACAGACAAACAAACATAGTAAGGAAAATGCAGAGAGGGTACAAGGGCAAAATATAAAGAAGATAATACAGTAAAATAAGTGTGATCGGTATAACATAAGGCTGCGACAATAGCCAATAGCAATAACAAAAGATATATATATCAGAAATGCTAAGGCGAAAGAGCTTAAGGTGGAGAGATCTGATGATTTTAATCGTAATTGGCGCGACGTTGGTGACGAGAAGGATTACGTTTCGACGCGTGCCAAATTTGAGGAAGTTCTGGGCATTGTTTACTAATAGGATTCTGTTGGCAGTAAGAAAAAACACTTCTTGCTCGTTTTGAGCCAACTTCAGTATTTTTTAAGTAGTCTGCAGATACTGACAGATGTCCTTACAGCCATATTATGGTCCCGCAATAGCTTCTGCCGCAATATACAAAATATCTTTTGTAGAAACTGTCGATAATCCCGGGCCATTTTCTACGATACTTTTATAAGAATCGATAATTTCTTTTTTCATCTTACGGGCAAAGTCTTAACTTTACGTCACGCATATACGGACGACAAACAAACATTCAAATAGATTTATGTAAACAGGACGTCCACCAGAATTTCTATACATGCCGTTACACCGTTACACGACAATTTAAATAGACAATATATTTTAATATTAATTTTTTATTTACTTGTTATTCTGTATGGATGAAAACTTACCAATTTACGCGATACCGACAGGGAATGTGTCTTTAGAAAGAGTGAAATAGGCCTACATCGCTTCAATTCTTTTTATAAGATTAAGAATTAAGTTATTTAACTTCGCCCGTTTTACTACGGACAGTCATCCGAACGTTCTTTCGACTAGAAATAAATATACAATTGTTCAAGGACAAAATGACGCAAACAGGAAAATCGACTCTTGCCACATTTAACGACGGAAGGCGAAATCGCCGTGTTTCCTTTGTATTTTAATAGAATTGTAGAAAGGTTTTCTCAAATAATATAAATTTATCCAAAGAGTCGGATGTAGGACTAAATATAAGCAATGCTTTAGTCTTGCTTCTAGTGTTTGGCATCGCGCGCTTATCGAAAGTTCTTTCATTTTATACAACGCAAACGTCATTGGCTATAAGAGGAATTTCTAAACGTTACGACGAATCATTAAACTCTTACCCTGAGGGAGATCCGTCGACGCTCCACCGACATGGCTGTTCGTTTAACTCCTTATAACGGGGTGGTGAGCAGTTATGTCGTTAAATCGATAAACACCGACAGAAAACTTTCTATTTCTCTTTAACGCTTAATGATATTGCAACGCTGATGCAATACCCGGTCGGAAAGACGGATGTGACATCGAGACGGGATTTCTCTCGAAAATCCCCTTTTTTCGGTGATGATTTTGGATTTACAAACGTAATTTTAAAAAATTATCGAGTATCGGCCGAAATTTAATAATTTTGTAAATTATTAAAATTTAATCTCTTTGTAATATTTTTGTAGCCAATTGCATCCCACCGACGCGGAATTTTTCAGATTTTATTCACGCGTTTATATCCTAAATAAGGACCAGATTCTTTTAGAAAGTTTCCGCCATAGATAATCTCGTGTGGCGTTTCGTGGACATCCCCGCTCTTCCGTATCCTCGGTTCTCTGCACCTTGTCTCTCACCTTGTGTTTTTTAATTCTGTGTTAACCAAATTTGCTAAAAGACATCGCGTCCTGGTCAATAAGAATTCAAATCGGAAATCCCGGTGTCAGGCGGACATGTTTCCTCCCGGGAAACCGATAAGCTATTGTATAGAAAAGTTTCCTTTTCTTCGGCCGATGACCCGGATTATTTCCTTTTTGACACCATTTTCGCATTGTTCGATCTACTTTTAAGCTGTTTTATATTTGTAATTCGAATTAGACGAGTGATTTTTGTTCTTACAGATGTACTCCCTTTAATTATTAAATATATCACCAGATGGCGACTAAATCGCGCACTCTATCCAAATTCCTCAGTTTTCGTTTATTAACTAGCCTTAATTTCGCCCGCGTACGTTTTTTATTGGTAAATATTCCACCCTCCGGCGTATAAAATCATTGTCTACGTATAACTTCATTTATTACATTACCAGTATCGCTACGTCATTTAACGAGTTAATTAAAATGAATAAATGAAATTGTAATAATAGAACTTTCCTAATTAAACAAACGTTGTCCGCTTATACGAGTCGCGATAATATATTTTTTTATCTCTCGTACTATTTTATTACTTTAAACAAATCGCGTAATAAACTTTTATCAAATTTTATTTTTTTATTGCCCGTGAAAAAACCGAATTCGTTTTCTTTTGTTTTTTTTTTTTTTTGAAGCGCATTTTCTAACTCATTAATAAATATCATTTTATTACTGAGTAATACATTTGAAAGGAGTATAAAATTATTTTTATAGTTTTTATTAATAACTTTTCGTTTTAAATATAATAAAAAAAATAAAATTAAGTCAAAGCCATCGCTTATTCTCGGCTACTTCCGGAATAGGAGGTGCATCGTTTTCGAGAGTATTACAAATGGTGGCTCGCAGTCGATTATTTTGACGAGTGTTTGGAAACGAAAGAAGAGCCATGAATCCTATGACGTAAGTTGCTATTTGTTGCTTAATTGCTTGAGAAGTCGTTTGAACGACGCAATATCATCTTATTACAGAAATGTAAAGAACATAACCAAGTTAAACGAAAGGGAAATTCAGTTAGGCATTAACGCCAGTTGTTCGTGGCACAAGATCTACCAGAAAAGTCCTTGGGTGTTCGTCGGCGGTTTGGATTACGATCTGACGGAAGGAGACGTCATATGCATCTTTTCACAGTAAGTCTCTCTTCTCTCGTAAAGTAAACTTTGCAGATAGAACTTTGGAAATTTGTTTTAAACAGTGTGCGTGTGTCTACGTAAGTACCTACAGGTGTGAATAAGTGACCTAAAAATGGTAAATGGTAAAAGTCCATCCTTTATACATGGGGCGTTTTCTTCTAATTTTGCTCTCTTAAGACACCTCTCTAGTAGACGTGTCCTATACGGAGAGAAATTCTGGTATACTCTTGTGGAGGTAGCGCAGTTTTTCTCGAGACGAATTCGATTAAAAACAACTAAACGACGGTTCCCCACCACAATAAACACCCCCGATCTTGTTCCTGATGATTCTACTCTGTTTTCGGAGCTAAAAAACACCCCGCCGGATGTTGCTTCTTGTCGATTGGGGAACGAATGAAGAACCGGCCGCGTTGGCCACTTCCTCGGACATTCTTCAAAATGTGTTCGAAAGAGCCCGTTTCTGCCAGAGAGAGCGCGTGGAGCAAAATGGCGCATACGTCGAAAGATGGGCTTGCCTGACGATGCCTTTTATTAGTAAAAAGTTCGGTGGCTTTGTTTCCCATCTGATCGAGTCTGAGAACTTATCGACTAGACTACTACGATGGGTTATGATATGGTGTGTTGCTAGGTCGAAGACTCGGTAAAATCTCTTTGAATTTCAGACAAAAGACTAAGCACACTATCCCGTGCGCCCTTCAATAATTTTTAAAATTTTACTTTCTTCTTTAAATTTAAAAGTTCTTTATTTGAAATTGCTAAAATAATTTTTGTTAACTTAATAAATAAATTTACGAACGTCGGTCGGCTTGACTTCGGGCGATATTACTACGCTTTATTGTTTTCTGCGGGCAGTGAAATGCGGGTCGTGACTTATTTTGTTGAGTCGGACGGTGGCAGCGATTGTAATATTATTTAAATTCCAGAGATATATATGCCAATATTCTGTCTTGCGTTAACTAAAAGGCGTTAAAAATCCCTTTATTTACTACACAGGTCTGCAAAAAGAAATTTTTTTCCAGCTGCATGGAATATTTTTGCTGAATTATATGTTTGAAAGATCGCAGATTCTAAAAATAACTTTTGTTACATCCCATGATGTAAAGGTTTTTTTGCAAAATAGAAACAAATTTTTGATAAAAACTCTTTATTTATTACAATGAACTAAATATATTATATTTTCTTACAACTAATCAACAAATTGTTTCTGATATTTATACACAATTTTAGGTCTACTCTTTTTTCTAATGAAACCTTTTTTCTTCTTTTTGATGCTTTTCCAAACTCGTTTCCAATTTCTTTCTCTGGTTTCTCGATTGAGCATCCAACAGTAGTCAGTTAACGTATTGACATCCCATTTTCCTCGTTAACGTCTCTCGATATCACGGACATCCTGGTGAAATCTTTCACTCCATTCTTCATTGTAGGCTCCCAAGTTTTTGGGAAAATAGTCAATACAAGAGTGTAAGAAATGAACTTTTAAACTCATCTCGCATCCTTGAGCTTCATACGCTGCTGCCAGCATGCATTGTACAATGGTTTTGTAGTCGAGGTCCTTAGTATTCCCCAAAAACTTATGCATTGCATTCTTGAAAGAGTCCCACGCTTCTTTTTCCTTTTCTCCCATTGTTTCCAAAAATCTGCTTTGTCTAGATCTCCAAGTTTCAATTTGAAATACGCAAATTAAACTTTCTTCGCAAACTCACTTATGTTTCTTTGTTGACTTTTCACTGTGTATTCACCACAAACATAACAGAAGCTGTTGGGAGAAATTATGCAACCTCTGCAAGTGATATTCCAGAAATAAAAATACAAGCGCAGTAGCGTTCGAATGCTGGATATAAACTGAGCGTGGCATTAGATGGCCAGCGAGCTACTGAACTTATTTAGCTTGTCGAAACACGATCTAATCCAACAGCGGGTTGTTTATATTTATTCCTAGTATGCCAGATAACGTGTCGAAACATGCTCACCCTTGCCAATAATATTACTCACTATTGCCTTTTAACCCATTTCTATACGATCATGCAACCTTCCTCCAATGCTAAAACTACTTAACCCACCTCCCCCTACCACTACTCTCTTCAACCATTAACATTTTTATTTATTTATTACAAANGAAAGAGTCCCACGCTTCTTTTTCCTTTTCTCCCATTGTTTCCAAAAATCTGCTTTGTCTAGATCTCCAAGTTTCAATTTGAAATACGCAAATTAAACTTTCTTCGCAAACTCACTTATGTTTCTTTGTTGACTTTTCACTGTGTATTTACCACAAACATAACAGAAGCTGTTGGGAGAAATTACGCAACCTCTGCAAGTGATATTCCAGAAATAAAAATACAAGCGCAGTAGCATTCGAATGCTGGATATAAACTGAGCGTGGCATTAGATGGCCAGCGAGCTACTGAACTTATTTAGCTTGTCGAAACACAATCTAATCCAACAGCAGGTTGTTTATATTTATTCCTAGTATGCCAGATAACATGTCGAAACATGCTCACCCTTGCCAATAATATTACTCACTATTGCCTTTTAACTTATTTCTATACGATCATGCAACCTTCCTCCAATGCTAAAACTACTTAACCCACCTCCCCCTACCACTACTCTCTTCAACCATTAACATTTTTATTTATTTATTACAAAGTCCAGCTATAATTGATAGAATTAAAGTGAGAAGTCTTCATTTTAAGGCCATGTTTAAAAAATAAAAAAATACTAAATTAAATAATCTCCTCTAAACACACTGTAAAATAAACGACTTACTTCTGCTGTAAACCAAAACAGTGCTTATTTCCAAATATTTTCACAAACGGTTTCGAACTTAGTTCTTCTTTTGGTGAATAAAACAGGTAGAATCAATGTTATTCGAAATTGAACGCAATGTTCTAAGGAAATCATCATGTTAAACTTGCGCATGCTCTGTAGATAGAAGGATCGCTTTTGGCTTCTCAAGTGTCGTAAATAACAGTTTGCCATGCTATCGATAAGGATAGTTCATCCTTATTGTNGTTCTTGGAAGTTTTGATTGACATAAGTTGGCGTGACATCCAACCCGTGAACTCAATACACCTAACAAATTAAACTTTCTTCGCAAACTCACTTATGTTTCTTTGTTGACTTTTCACTGTGTATTCACCACAAACATAACAGAAGCTGTTGGGAGAAATTATGCAACCTCTGCAAGTGATATTCCAGAAATAAAAATACAAGTGCAGTAGCGTTCGAATGCTGGATATAAACTGAATCCGCTATATTATTCCAAAAATCTGCTTTGTCTCAATCTCCAAGTTTCAATTTGAAACACGCAAATTAAACTTTCTTCACAAACTCGCTTATGTTTCTTTGTTGACTTTTCACTGTGTATTCACCACAAACATAACAGAAGCTGTCGGGAGAAATTACACGTCTGCAAGTGATATTCCAGAAATAAAAATACAAGCACAGTAGCGTTCAAATGCTGGATATAAACTGAGCGTGGCATTAGATGGCCAGCGAGATACTGAACTTATTTAGTTTGTTGAAACACGATCTAATCCAACAGTGGGTTGTTTATATTTATTCCTAGTATCCCAGATAACATGTCAAATCTGTTGCTAGTAGTTGCAGGCTACAGCCGTAGCGACATGGAGAGTTGCAGCAACAAAGCAATAGAACGGCTCATTCACTGGGGGAGCTGCACAAGCTCTTATTCAGCCCCGAGAAATCGGAGGTCCTGACGGTGGCCCAGACTGGAGTGTTGACTGGAGTGAACGAGTTTAAGTACCTCGGTGTTAGCATCAATCAGACACTATGCTGGACACCCCATCTGAGGAACGTTCGCAAGAAAACGAACCTCATGATAGCGGCACTATCGAGACTAGCAAGACAGGACTATGGCCTAAGCGGAGAAGTGCTCCGAGCCATCTATAAGATGAGCGTAGAGCGCATCGTCTGCTACGCCTGTGGTGTATGGTGGAAAGACTCTGCCAATGTCAAACAGAGCAGGACACTGCTCACGATTCAGCGACCCGCTGCACTGCGGATCATGAGAGCGTACAGATCTGTGTCCACGGACATGGCCCTGGTCTTGGTCGGGCTGCTCCCACTGCCCTTGGTTGTCAGCCAAGAGGCGGCCTTCTACAGAACCACAGTAGAAGGAATAGAGGCTATGCATTGTAATCGGAAGTACCCAGTCAGGCTCAGGCATCAGGTAAATGTCTTTAAAGTCCATCCGGCCCAAAGGATCGGACTCGACTGGGACGGGTGTTGAAATATACACCGATGGCTCAAAAGACGGCAGCTTAGTAGGTGCCGTGTACTGCGTCTTCTGTGACAAAGTACAAGTGTACGAACAGTCAGTCAGATTGAATGAGGAGGCTTCTGTGTTCCAGGCGGAACTGGTGGCCCTGGAGGGGGCATCTTGGTGGATCCTATTACATTCAGGTCCAGAGCCAGTCAACGGTTTACTCTGATAGCCAGTTGTCGCTACAGGCTTTAAACGACGGGTACCATCGCGATTTGCTGGTACACGAGATCAGAAGCATGGTGCTGAGGGCGAGGCACGAGCGACACGTTGCCCTGCGGTGGGTCCGAGGCCACATTGGGATCTTGGGTAACGAACGTGCCGATCAGCTGGCAAAGGCAGGAGCTAGCGGCCCATTTATAACAAGGACGGTGGAACCCTCGGCTACTTATATTAAAGGTACCTTGCTGAAACGATCAATGGCCAACTGGCAAGAGTGCTGGACACAAAGTACAGTAGGTAGGCCAACCTATGCCTTCGTGCCTGTAGTTGGCCTCACTCCGGTGTGTTGCAATTGGCTCATGAACCAGATACTGACCAGCCACAGGAGGTTTTCCCACTTCATGTCTAGATTCGGACAGGGAGATGGTAGCTGCTCCTGTGGGTGTCCTCGCGGCGACGCGAGACACTATGTACTTGACTGTCCTCTTACTGAGGATTTCTGCCGAGGGGCCAACCAAGTCGACTGGTCTAGGCCGCCTGAACAAGTACTTCG